GGCTTGTAAGGTCTCCAAAATGGGGGGCAAAGTTTAATATAAGAAGTTCTTAAGATGCGCTCCAAAAATTAGGATATTCTGATATCGGATGCATGAGATATGGTGTTTGTAAGTTGGAGTTCACTTAACAGTGATCTATTCACGAGCGATTTACAAAGCAACCCATGGCAAATGGTCGCCAATGAAGCTGAAATTTGGTAGAATAGTGGATTGACCCCTAAAAGCTTGTACTCAAAATTTCAGGTCAATATGATGCTGTTTTGATACCATTTTCAAAGTGATCTATGAAAGGCTCATTGATGACTATTCATGCCATTGCTGGTGGAATCGTGTTCCGCAAAAAATGGAAACGTGATTCCTTTATTTTAGAATCAACCTTCGCCTAGGGAAACGCCGAATCGAGATTTTGAAACAGAATCGCTTTTGTCATAGGCGATTCGGGTAACTATAGTTTTAACCCCGTGTAGCATTTTGGCTTCTGTGAAGGACACGCTCCCATCCCAAGCTCATATCCTTAGAGCCAAAGCAGGAGACTCAAATTCGTCATCTCCTACAGTGATCTCTTCGCTTCATCGCTTTAATTTACGTTTTGGAGTGTGATTAAGGCATCCTGTTAGCAACATATATGCCGGGGGTCTAAGAGGATCTGCCATATCCAGAACCTGGGGATTTGTTAAACCCTCATTTGTAATATTTGATATATATTCAGGCTGTTGCCTCTTTTGTGTTGCTTTCTCTGGTTGTTTGGAGTCATATATCAACACAAACACACACGTGGCATTAAAGGCATGCGTACATCAAACTCCCCATCTCCTTGTAACTGTCAGTCATTCTCTAGAAAGATCTACAAGTAGTCTGCATATTAAAGTATCCTCTTCACATCCTGACCATGTTCGACTTATATTGCTCAGGTGGTGACTAACAAGTCCAACATGGTCGCATATCACATCATATATATGACTGCTTTTTATAATCGCATAGGTCACACATATCTTTTCTTTGTTAACTTTTCTCTATGGACAAAGATTAAGCATGTAACCCTTCTTGACAGAAGTGTTGTTGGACTCGCCATCATGCATCCTAAGTCGTTCCAAGATTTTCCTAATGTAAATATCTCAAGACAAACAAAGGAGTATCTTTATAATGATCATGTTTGATCTCAACCTAAAGCACATAATGCACCTTGCACATGTTCTTCAAAACCAAATTGGAGGACAACCTCTCTTAAGTAAGATCGATTATCTGTTTGTCATCTTTCGCCATTTGGATGTTGCTGACTTAGAATGGCATAATCATGAAACTCCCACTATTCTTGACAATAAAATCCTTGTCAAGGAATGTCGTCTTAACATCTATTTGATTGAGTTTCAGAGATAAATGCGCTACAATGGCAAGTCTAAGGTGAAATGAGAACATCCTCAACAACGGGGAATCCGAGACATTACAATTCACGCCCTCAATTAGGTGAAGCCTTTCGCCACCTATTGGGCATTGTGCTTATCATTTAGTTCCATTGGTCTTTCTCTTTCTTTTAAATACCTACTTGTTCTTGTTGGCCTTTACCACTTGGAGTAAGATTACGAGTTCCTAGACTCGCTTGTTCTCGATGGAACCAATCTCTTTGCTCACTGTTGCAATCTAATTGCCTGTAACCGATTATCTTAGTGCTTCCTGAAGTGAACCCGGTTCATCCTCATCAATAGATATGTATGTCAAACTTTCCTCTTCAATCTCATAATGCCTCTAAGGAATTTTGCCATGTGCACTCCTGTAAGGCTCATGGATGAATTGTGACAGAATCCCATTGTCCTCTATGACCATGTGAATACTGCCAGTATCATCCTCTAGTGGAGGATTCTCCTCACTATTCTCTTGTCTTAGACCCAATCATCTTGTAGAGGTCTAAAGTCATGCTAGACTACCTCCTACTTGGGAACTTCGACTCATGAAGTCCACATTACATGATTCAACTTTCCTCAGGCCACCCTCTTCAGAGGTGGAACATATGACATACTAATTATAGTTCTCAAAGACATCTAGTGAGGGCACATGCTATGGACATCTAATCCAGCTTATTGATCAGCTGAGATGACAAGAACAACTTACATCAAAGGACTCAAATGGGATGGTTTGAGCTTTCTACTGGTCTATAACTTGTAAGGGGCTTTAGGCACAGATTTTGAAGGCTATTCAAGATTTATAAAGCAGTCAATAGAGCATCTCCCTAGAAATTCTCAGCGACATCTGTATATGCCATCATGGACCTCATCTTGTTCATTAGGGTATGGTTCCTTCTTCTCTACATCACAATATTGCTTGGGGGTAAAGTACATTATTTCATGCGAACAAATCCCATGATCCTTATAGAACATTACAAAAGTTCATAGATGTACTTGCGCTTTCTGTCAGTTCTAAACTCAACCTTCAACTTAAAACTCTTGAAGCAATAAATTGTCTCAGATTTGTGAGATTGAGTTTACAAAACCATAGTGTGATTAGTCATACTGGGATCTGTCATGGGCCTTCATGTCGAAGAGACACGTGAATGAATGATATATAGTTTTTTCGATATTTGTTCCTTGGAAAAGGATGGAGGTCAGCAATCACATCCTTTGATGCCCTAGTAGTCTATGTCCATGAATATAAAAAGGAAATAACAGGAAATTACATGGATTTCGAGGTTTATTCTCACTGCTATTCGCACATGTCTCATTGGATTTAGGTACTCTCTTGATCTTCAAGTTTCAAGACAATCGAATATCCAAAATAGCTCAAAGCAAAAATTTCGCATAGCGAGAAGGGACCAGTGGTAGTAATGAGTAACAAATCATATTTGGAAGCTAGACTCCCCAAGTGTGTTTGCATCGCTGATGCAAAAATCCCACTAGTTTGTGTAATATGATAATGGTCACTACCCATAGTGACTTCCAAATCAGATTGCCTACATTCTTCGAATATGTAAACACATTATATGAAACAAATCCAAACATTCGGGGCAAAAAGGGGTCCAGAGAGCTTGATAAGCAAGTGGGACCCTACTGGTTGCATTCTGTGTCTCGGGCTACCCCCTGAAACTTGTATTATATGTCCAATCATGGCGCTTGAATGCTAGGTTATGCCATCTAGAAAACTCGTGTCTAAATAGTAAAATTCCATCCTACCTTGAGGCTGCAACTATCCCTCTGTAAGGCTGAGGCCACACTTGTTCTATGCGGCTACTCAACAGACCATGAGTCTACATCTGCTCTATTTAGTGGGATCTTTGTGGCTGTACAATTAGGGCCTCACTTGGTTCATGCAATCACGTATGTATGACTTCAGAATGCAGGGGCATACTCACATGCCTTTTATGCATCCCTGGTCGCACCTAGCAACTGTATGGCTTTAGGACAAGTGTGGCTACACATATAACTAGCACACCTACAATTGCACATAGCAGTGTGCGGCGTCAGGCCAGAATCCACACAATGCTACAAATACATGTTCACAAAACTACAGGCGTGGAATCCTCACATGCGAATGCACGGCTCTCGCATATACGGGTGCTGCCCAAGTGGTGTGCAACCACCTCTTGGGTGCACCCTTGGTACCACATTGTGTGTCCGCCATTTGGGACCGACCTTGTGCTGCCTGGTGGTCCTCCAACCCTCATTTACAGCTTGCATGGACCCCGTAGGACCTCTGCACTGGTTCAGCACACTGGATCAGTGCACATGGATGCGCTACGCTCGCCCAACGCGCATCTAGTGCTCCACTGTGGTCCTGCCAGGGTCCACTGTGGGTGCACCACGAGCTTGTGTGCTTCTAGCACTAGTCCAGCAACTCATGCTGGCCCCCCCAATGATCATGTGCGCTTCTCGTGCGTGTCTAGCAATTGCTGCAACAAGACAACCCATCTTTTTTTTCCCCTTGCTCAAGCAGACCACATGGGCCGTCAGATCTAAGAGGTGAACCTCTATCAAGGGGCTCTGATATCAATGTTCGACTTAGTGGGCGAGTCGCCAAACAGCAGAAATGCAAACAAATATACGCATAACCCCATGGATCTGATAGAGGTTACATACATTTTCCGACGCTGATTGCCCTTACGATTGGTGTGGATGAGTGGATGTCTCCTTTTCTCCATGCGCTCAGTTACTTAAGGTTGAAAGTTTGTTGCCTGTATCCTTAGGTCTGCTTTATGATTACTAAAACTAGAAGACAAATCCGGAGCCTTTTATGGACGGCTCGAGAGTTCCTGAATTGCTAATGGGGTTTACATTTTCCTAGGGTTTCTAGACAGAAAAAACTAGAAGAGAGAGGAAGAGGGGCCATGGGTCTAGAGAGTGGAGACCCTTTTCTGAGAGGCATGTCGTTTCCCATCCTTTAATAGTTCTCTCTCTCTCTCTTAACCTCTATATACAGAAATATCTAATGAAGTAATCTTATCCAAAAATGGAGTCATCTTTCCTATTTTAGAAAAGATTCCTTCCAATCAATTTTATCCCCAGTTGAGAATTGATGTCTCATATGATTCCCTTTCCTTAATTTGATGATATGGATATCCTCCTCTCTATTAACCGCTAAAAATACTGAAAATACCATGGAGATCCTTGTACCCAAAAGTTGGCAGAATACAAATCCAACAAAACATAAATATGTATACACTAGCTCGTATCTTCTACTAATTCACATCTTATCACATGCCAAAAAAATTCATCTCCTTGTACCCATTGTTCTGCAGTGAGATTATCAACTGAGGACTGAATATGTTCGTGTGTTTGATTGACATTTGTTGACATTGTTCAAAGGAGGAAAACAATTTCTGCTTCACTTTCTAAACGTATCTTATTTAGCTGGCACATGGGATGGCTTTGATATGTGAGCAAAGGATTACTTGTTGATTTTGCTGTGGCAGTGACCTCCATATGAACTGCTCTCTCTCTTTCTGCCTGCTCTCTTTGTTCAAGGATGAGTAGGGTTTTTAACTTTTGCATTGTGGGTGCACTTTAACTTTATAGGTATTCGCTCTCAGCTGCTGTGACTTTCATGGCTGCAAAGGGGATATTGCCAAAAAAGAATCGGAGATAGCAAAGTATTGGGTGTGAGTTATTTATCTCAATTTCTTGGGTTTTTCTTTTTCTTTCATTTCCTTGTTCATTTCTTTTGGGGCAGCGTCAAATATTTAACAACATCCATTCTTTCTCAAATCAAGAACTAGACTTCTAACATCAAAGCTGCTGGCACACCGTTTTTTAAGGAAAAGTATACCATTACTGTGTTAGGCTTATTGTGCTGTGGTGTATGGTAATACTCCTTTGTTGTTGACTTGGGCGTGTTTTTGGTATTTGGAAATATTTTGGGGCATGTTTGGAATCTAAAGTAGTGGTTGATGGACCAGGAGGCTCATGTTGTATAAGTTTTAGGAGGATGTTTCAAGGGTTCCTTGGGAGTATTTTGTACCTAGTGAGAGGTACATGAATAAAGTGAAGGAGGTAGAAAGTTTGCTCTGTAGTAAATTATGTGAAATGATTTTTTGCTGAGGTGGGAGAATTCATTTTTTCCCTTGTGTAAACCCCAAGCTTGAAGTATTTACAGGAACCACTATTATTCAGGAAAAATATACAAAGAGACCATTTACTTTTGGTATCAATAGGTCATAATTGCTCGTCTATCAGATTTCAAAACGGATGGTTGACTGTTCATTGACTAGGTTCAAAGTTTAAAGACATTTTTTTCAAATTTTATGACACATCCCAAGTTGTCAAATTTAAAATAGGATGGCTAGAGTTTTTTGTAACCTTGTAACAAAGATAAATGTCTCATAGTAGACAATCCCTATTATTGATGCACAGCTGGCCAATCTCAAAAAACAAATGTTCTGAAATCTTACTCTTACCAGAAAAAGAAAAAAGGTGATTGTCCAATTTTTGGATAGTAAGATCTACTAGTTGAAGAACTCAATATTCATTTCTTTTTCAAATAATTATATGGTGATTCATCGGCGGATACTAAAATTTTAGGGAAAATTGCAGATATCCCCTGAACTTGAACTTTCTTAGCAACCTTCCCCCAACCAACGTTTTTATCCCAAAAGTTAATATATCCCAAATATATATATTTTTTTAACCCAAAAACATAATTTTCTAGCAAATACCGTAGTCAAAAGTCATAGTTATTTGAACCAAAATGCCCTTGTTCGTATAAGCTCGTGTCACATCCCCGTAGCATGTGCAATAATGACCAAAGGTTAACTGTCGGATCGATACATAATAAAACCATTGCCGGACACCTATGCGTAGCTGTCGGACCGCATGAACAATATGCTGGACTGCAGTAAAAATTGTGATAAAAAAGTTGTTTGTGGGGAGTATGTTTTAGGGTAAAAATTGTGATAAAAAAGTTGGTTGTGGGGAGGTTGCTAAGAAAGTTCAAGTTGGGGGTATATGCAATTTTCCCAAAATTTTATATAAACAAATCCTTCGCTCTTTTACTTGAGATAGTAAGCATATAGTATATGCTCCACAGGAGCATTAAATATGCACTAGTGAGTCATTTATTAGCAGAAAATTGTTTCATGCAGCGGGGATTGCATTTCTGCATATGTGGTCCTCGAGGTATAAAGCATCCATCTTAAAGATAGATGCAAATAGGTAGTCTATTTAAAAACAATTGAAACTAACAGTCCAAATATTTTCTTAATAGAATTTTTATTTTTAATTTTTAAAATTAATTTATTTTTTCATATTCATGATCTTCATGTTAGAAATTACTTGTCCTTAAAAATTAAGTAAAAAATCCATCTCAAAAAGTTATTTTTAAGAGGTGACTCATTTCTACATGGACTCATAGAAACTGTCTTGGCCCTTTTTTTTTTAGTTTTATTAGTGTTAACTTAAACTGTCATTAATAAGGAGAAAATACTCAAAAGTTTGAGAACAGGACGAGAGGGAAGAGGGAGAGATTAAGGGGGAAGCTTAGAGCATCTGCCTCGTCATTTTTCTCTTGATTGACATGACAAAAGATAACCTCTTTGCCAGTAGTGCCTGACTGAATTTCATCTAATAGCGATGTCCATTGCCAAGGAGTCGAATGTGGATGGGTGCACCAATTGATCACATTAGCGGTGTCATCCTCAACAATAAGATTTAGATGGTTGTGATTGAGTCTGAGCACACCTTCCTTAACCGTTCAAAGTTCAGCTTCATTAATGTCACAAAAAGGTAAATGACCATTGTAAGTGAAAATAGTCTCTCTAAGGTTATTTCTCGAGATACCACCGAAGTTAGCCGCACGAGGCAGAAGTCTGACACTACCATCAAAATTCAATTTAAGCCAACCTATTGGGGGTGGAGGCTAGCAGGCTGGCTTAATAACCTTTTTAGGACTAAGCATCAGAAGTTCAGAGAATTGAGAATAGAAAACCTCTTTGGGATGGCAGCTAAGATTCAAGAGAGTCTGAGCCCATTGAATCATCCCTTATAGGATCTGTTGCTCGATGTACTCAGCATCTTGTGATTTCCCTACAAAGATTTTGGAGTTCCTCTTCTTCCAAAGGAACCATAGAGTAGCAGCAACAAGAGCAGCCCAATTCCAGAATGGACTGACAAAACGGCAATGGAGAAAGAGATGGCTACAGTCCTCAACATCCATTTTACAGAAAATGCAAGCATTGATCAGTATCTTGTTCCTCTTCCTTAATTGATCCCCAGTTAAAACTCTTTCTTGCTCCAAAATCGATAAGAATGCCCTAACTCTCTTGGGAGTCTTGACAGACTACACTTTAGTGAGGTGGTTTCAATTGTTGAAAATTCTATTGTTACTCACCTCTTTATAAAGTTATTTGACAAAGAAGGAGCCATCTGAAGTGATCTCCCAAATGAGTCTGTCCTTTCTTCCAGGGAATACCACAAAGGTATCAAGCATTTGTAACAATGATAGAAACTGTTGCTCAGTATTGTGATCAATTCTTCTGTTCCTCAAAGCAATGTTACAAAAACAGCTGGTGCCCTCTCCTTCCACCACTTTCGAAATTGTCACTTGTTTCGACACCATCAATTTGAAAACTTCTGGGAAAGTAAACTTCAGAGGTTCATATCCAATCCATTTCATGAACCATAATTTCTTAGAGTGTACATCCCCCACTTTTATTCTAACGTAGGTCAAGAAAATGTTCCTCACTTAATCGATGCCTTTCCAAATTGGGGATGAAGATCTGCCAACTGCTAATCTCTTGGGGAAAAGTCCTGTTTGGTCCACTCCATATTTTGCAAGGATGATCCTTTGCCATTCCATTTTTGGTTTAGAATTCATCCTCCACCACCACTTAGTAAGCAGAGCATCACTGAAATGCTTCAATCTCTGGATCCCAGACCCCCTTCATGTTTAGGTCGACATACCTTCTCCCACTTAACCAAATTATATTTGTGCTTCTCCGAGGTACCACTCCACAAAAAGATTCTCACAAGAAGTTCCAATTTCTTAAGCATTGAAGTAGGAGCTCGGTAAAGAGAGGAAATAGACTGAACTACTGAAGTATTATCTATCGTTGAATTGGTAATCCTCCCCCCAAAAGAAAGATACCTACCATCTATCCAGTTTATATTTTGCTCTCAGAATAATGGGGTCCCAAGTAGATATGGGCAGTCTACCATCTGCAAGTGGAACCCCTAGGAACCTTGAAGGTAGATCTTCTATTCCGCATCCTAGCCAAGCAGCCCAAATTCTCAGGTCCTTTGGTTTGCAATTGATCCCCCATTAATTTGGACTTTGAAAGGTTAATCTTAGGTCCCGATAGTCCCACTCTACATGATCATATGCCTTCTCAAAGTCCAATTTGCACTGAATACCAGAATTAGCTAGGCTTCTGGTTGAATGGATCACTTCTTGAGATATCAAAATTCCATCTGTGATTTATCTTTCTTTAATAAATGGCAGATTGAGGTTCTTGTATGACTTGGGAAATGACTTTCTTCAGTCTATTAGCAAGAACCTTCGCTAGGATTTTGTACACAAAAGTCAGGAGACTGATTGGCCTTATGTCTTGGAGAGACACCACCTACTGCTTTTAAGGGATATGTGTTATAAAAGGGGAATTAAGGGCGTTATTGACTGTTGCATCTGTATAGAAGTCATCAAAGAAAGTCTTCAAATCCTTTATAATATCCCAAAATTCATTCATAATAGCTTTGGGTGTTTGATCTTTGATCGAATAACTCACTGTGTATATTTGATTTTTGATGTTTGTCTTAAATAACTTTGACATGAAACTTGAGCATTCTCACTTCTCAGAAATGCGTTAATAAAAGTTAGAAAAAATCTTTTTGGTATAGAAATGCCCAAAATACCTTATGGGGTACTTTGGTCATTTTATTTTATTAGAAATGTTGGGGTGCCTCAGTGGAAACATGCCAAATTAGAATTGAAATAGTAGTATTAGATGTGAGATTAGGACTTAAGCTATCTCAATTAGATCAGACGGTTGGAGATACAAGTAACATATGTTTTTGTTGTAGATTGTGACACAAAGTTTTCCCATAAATATTCTTTGATTTCTAACTGTTTTTAACACTTTGCCGGTTCTTTAAGCCAAGCACATATCTTAATCATTCTAAAAATAAAATAAAGATGCATATTTTTTTAGAAGAAAAAAAAAATAAAGATGCATATTCCGTAAGGTTTAGAGAATAGTTTAGGAAATGTCTAGGAAATGGCAGTTACAGTGCAACTGAATTCGGCTTTTGAGGATATAGGATTGTATTATATGGGATTATTTACTTTTACTACAAGGTGGTCATAATCATTTTTGGCCATTAGATATGAGTTCCAATAGATTGAAGTATGTTGCACCATTTGAGAAATTTTGTTCTGAACTTTGTGCCTAATCAATGACCAATCCTCGGCTGCACGATGTCAAATTTAACAGTTAGACAGTGATTGTGAGCTCTTTGTATAAAAAATAAATGGTCTCATTACACATACTTCCTAAAGAAAGCCTCATTCTATACATTTCCTAATGAAATAGACCTTGTTGGCAAGGAGTAACTGCATCGGTGTGTTGGTAACGGCATCGATGTGATGCTTACTATTTCACCATTATGTCTCAACCATTGTTTGCAAAACCATCCGGTTAGATTGGAATCGCCATGGTTCCGACTCCGGTTATAGCCGGTTTAGGGGTACTAGTAGCTTAGGGTATAATCCCAAAAATTTTTCGGCCCAAAACCGGTCGGTTAGAGGTCGAACCGGCAATATTTAGGTGAAACTGGTTGGTTTTTTGCTAACCGGACCGGTTAGACGATATAACATACCCGGTATGGCCATTATTTCAAAATTGAGGCCGTTATTTGTAGCAGGCATTCTTGAATCCAAATTTTCACTTTTTTTTTATCCATTTTCGTGCCTTTTTTTTTTTTTTGTCCTTTTTCGTGATTTATTTCTGTAAATCATTATCTATAATCTATAAAACAAGAAATTTGGATTGAAACATCAAAGAAAAGAGAGTTTCTTAGATTGCAATGGCAGATTTTTTCGGTTTTTGAAAATTTCCGCCTTTATTTCAATAATTTTTTCACTACCTAATGGTTCTTGAAGAAATTTGGTGGTTTTGATAGATAATTGAATTATTCATCAGATTTATGTTTCAATTTGTTCAGAAAACCAAATATTATGGGTTGATTTTAGTCTGAAATGCTGATGCTCAAAGAACTTGTATTCAATAAAAAAACACAGATTCTTGGTCTATTTATTTGTCGTTTGTTATTAAATTGAGTTGTGGATTTTTATGATCAATGCTTGATCTCTCAGATAAAATAGGTATGTCTATTTATGATTGATTAAATGTTTTTATATGAATTTTTTCGTTGCACCATATCATGAAAATTTCATAGATCTGAAATTTCTGCCTTTTTTTCAATTAAATTAAAAATACTGAATATTTTTTGATGAGATTTGGTGCATTTGAAAGATGATCGAAGCCTTTACAATGCATATATGTTTATTTGTTTGATTTTACAAACATTGAGGTTCGTTTCTTGTTCGAAATGTTGCTTGATTTTTTGGGTTTTTGAAAAATCGGTTTTTCTAAAAAAAATATGTTGTTTAATAAAATTATGTTTTCTGATGAATATGGGACGTGTTTTCTGTTTTGCTTAATAAGTTTTTAATAGAATTATGATTTTTTAATACAATTACATTTTTTGATGAATATGGGAAGTGTTTTTCTATTTTGCTCAATAATTTGATTCTTTTTGATAAAATTATTTTTTTATGAAATTGATTCTTCTTTTTGATAAGTGCATGATAATGTCCCTTGATTTTTTTTAATTATGTTTTTTTTAAGTGCATGATATAGTTATACTTGTAATGATGGAAATGAAACATTTTGTTTTTTTAAGTTCATGTTAAATTTTTGGTTGTCTTACGCTCAATGAAACACTTCACCATTCTTGGTTCT